AGTTAATTTTTTAAGGTAAGGAATTGTGAAATGCCCCATGTGTGATGAGATGAGACAAACCGGTACCAGCTCGTCATAGGGATTAATTAATGCGAGTTCTCGATGTTGAAAGGATGGTCGAGAACCTGGTGAATACTCGATTCTTGTCAGCCTGTCGTTTTAGAACTCAGGTGACGATCTACATTCTTCTCAACGCTGATACATTATATTCTGCCCTGATAATGTGCCTTTTGTCTGATTCAATAAAACGGGGGATTTTGGTGTTGCAGAAAGATGTAAGATTGTACATGGAACAGAACGTCATTCATGTCAGCTTGGCATAAGGAGAATATAATCTGACTACTATAATGGTGAATGCAGTAGCAATAGCATGTACAGCTCACATCTACCAGAGGATTGTAACATCTCTGCGCGAGAAGAAAGCACATAATGAAAACACAAAGAGAAAGAAGAAAACGTTTATCGAGACAGTAACCAAGAAACGACCATGGTAAAGCATGAACATCGGCGAACCAAACAGAATCAAACCGCTCAATGGATAGCTGTGATTTCTCCCTGGATGAGTGTTCGAGTGAGTGGTCGACGGTATTACGACTTTCTTTCCTGTGCGATTCTTGTGGGTAATAGTTCCATCAGCAGACTTATATGTTGAGCTGCCATCTGGGTTGCTTTGATATGTGCTACCATTGGCTGTACGTGGATCAGCGATAGCACAGTTAGATTCCACCTAATGGCCAACTGGCACGAACATTGCTTACCGTTGTAGTACCAATATGTCGCTGGATTAATCCCCGGCTGGTCGTATCGAACACGTACGTACAAACCGCCCTGGTAGTCAGGCTCAGTAAGTGGTCCGATGCAAAACTGATAGCAGAGAACTTACAAATTTATCGAGGTTCGCTCCCTCAGTTATGAAAGAACCATACTCATCCATCCCAGGCAAATTCTCCATGGCTTTTGCACACGGTTCGTCCATACTATATCTGTCGAGGCTGGCGGGTGGGGAAGAAAAGGGTAGAGAAATCAGGTTCTGGGTATCCGTCTGGGCTTGGTCGTATTAGTACATGTTCATTTCTGGCTAACTAGGATCGTAGCAGGTGAAGGCCTGCGGCGCAAGCGGCTGAGCGCTTCTGGCTGGTCAACGGTGCGGCAGAAACCACATTGGGTCATCTAGAATGATAGCGACATCAGTGCCAGCTCCTAGAAAATGGAAGACCAACGTGAACTAATATACCCCCTATAATCATCTGTACTGTACGTAACTAGTTCCCAAATCCAAGTAACGGCATATTCGCGCAGTTTTTGGACGGTTACATTGTTGAGTATATTCAGGAAACAAAGAAAACAGTGGACATGGTGTAATATGAAAAGGAAGCACGAAAGCAGTGTGTAGCAGAGCATTGTAGGCAAACAATTCGACCAAATATGGGAAGTATGAGCATTCGACATAGGTCAAAGCTTAAAATTCGTCATCAGTATCGTCTTGGAAGAAGTCCTGAAGCGCTTCTTCGCTGTGCATTTCTTGTAAGATAGCCCACTCCTCTTCTTCTTGGATCTGTTTAGTTACGGCTGCTTGCCACTCAAGTACTCGTGGATGTACCATCACCCTTGAAGTAGCAGGAATTTATTATAGAAGTATTCAAGGTGGATTAAAGAATTAATTGCTTACTTGTTTTTATTGAAGTGTAATACCTGAAGGGTCTCCATGTCTGTTGCACGCGAGAGAGCAACATATGCTACAGTATGCAGGGTTAATAGAACGAAAAACTCTCACAGGAGAATGAACTATAGCAATACTTGCCTTGGCCCTTTTCAAACGTCCTGGCTAAGTCGACTTTTACTCTTTGTAGTGTCTGACCCTGTGATTTATGCACACTCATTGCCCACGCAAGGATCAGTGGTACTTGATCGCGTTTAGCCTCAAATTCTCCCCTTGCATTGACAACATCGAATGAGGCTGGAACGCATAGCACTTCACGACGCGTTGTGAAGCGTACGACAGGCCATACGCGCTTTCTAATGTCCATAGATGTATCCTTGGAAGGATCATTCACGTTTTCTAGGGATGAATTTATGGAAACAGCCTTCGTGTCGTAATTATTATTGCCGGAACTATCGGGTATACCGATCTTATTGCCATCATGTACGGCATCACCGACCGTCTTAAAAGCAACTACCTTGCCTAGCGAACCATTTATAAGCTCGCCCTGAACAAGATTCTGAGAGCTTTTGAGTGAGATATACCAAACAATCTACATTATAAACTTTAAACACACCTTGATCAGCATAACCTGTGCACCGATCTGTAATAATGGATCATTGAAGCAGAGTTGTATTGCTTGCGGCAAGCCACATACTTTCAGCGTCACTTCCTTCACAGCAACGAGCCGTTCCAGCAGCTTCTCAGCATGTTGCCTTGGAACCGACTTTCCGTGGTTGTCTGTCCCTGGTACATCGTGTGCTACATAAGTGTGCGAAGGGCCAGAGAGCCCTGCTAAGCGCGAAGTATTCGCACGCTGTACTTCATGGCGAAGCGGAAAACTGCAGTAAGCTAATAGTTAGCACCAGCCACCCAAAATATATAGTAGATACATACAGCTCTGTGGCTTCAATACCATCTTCGTATATAATTGGTCTACTGAGGGCCATAAATCGCTCCTCATCCTCCCTGTTCATAATGCCGTATCGCATACGATTGAGAATGCGGACAAATTCTATCAGGAACAAATTCAAGCACGTTCGGAGAAGAAGTCGAAAGTTCCAAACCTTGATCCTTCTGCCGGAAGACCTTTTGAAGAGCCGTAGGTGTACCAACACATCTGTTCCAAGATTCTGCTTCAAATGCGAATTTGATGGGTAGTGCAGTACCTCCAAGTTGGTCTGGTACAGGAGGCAACTGGCAGAAATCACCAGAAAGCACAAGCTAAGCATTTGCTTCAGCATACTGACAAAAGTGATAACATGAAGAAGTACTTGTATGCCACCAAATGGTTTGCTACTTTCTCGCACACTTTGAGCGATAGTTTCCTGGAGTAGAAGAGATGTAAATTGTCGGAATACACCAAAGTACAGATCACACTGACTAATAGATCAAAGAATCTGCCGTCTATCATGGAAACTTATATCGGTGTCAAGTGTTGTTCTTCCTTGAGGATCTTCACTTACTCTCATCTATAATTAACGTCTTCGTGCTGCGCCATCTGTCCAATGCATACTTGGAAGACAAGACTTTCTCAAGCAACGATTCAAACGGACCCTTCCCTAGACCAACTCCAGCGAATGAATGTAAGGTCGTGCCTCCTATGTTGACTGCCGCAATCCCTGTAGATGCAGTAATAGCCAGCTCGGATGAGCCCAGGCCTTCAAGTTCATTGATTATCGCTTTAAGCAAGACAGATTTCCCCGTTCCTAATCCAGAGCACAAAATGGTCGGCTTCACCAGGAAGAGTAATGATTCAGAATTCCAATCATCTTCGCACCTGCAGATCCAGTAAAGAAGATGCTTTCACCACGCTTGACACGCTCAAGAACCTGCGTCTGTTGGTTCGAAAGCGGAGGTCCTTTGGATGCATCGTCTGTTGTATCCGCAGTCGGACGGTCGACGATTATCTCAACCGAATCATCATAAGGTGTCGAAGGAGAAACTGGGAATGGGATAAAGTCCATTTCTGACGATGCTGTAGAGCTGTGTACGGAATCAGCGCTGTTGGAAGGCAGTGGCAAGAGCGGCGGCTCATCTAAAAAATAACGGCAATACCATGTCAAACTTCACATAAACCACACTCAGGAGCATCTTGACAAACTTATAGATAGCCATTCATTTACCCAGTCCTCGGCTTCTTTAAGGGTCATGAAACCTGCGAAGCACGCTCTCGAGAAACCCGATACCTGGTCGAAGTTACTTTTTTATAAGGCTTGGCTGGCACAATTCGGCGCTCACTGCTGCTTCACACTGAAAAAGAAAACTCACATCCGTTAAAAAGCCAGGGCTGTGTTAGTTGCTGAATGTCACACCTCTGGCCAACTATTATATACTTTTGCGCCATCCCGTCCAACCCGCACACCATAGAACTTCTTCTTATTCCTTCGTCCCATTTAGGGACGAGAAGTGTGATAGCGTCAGAGAAAAGTAAGTTAGGGAAAACAAGTTATCCAGGTTTGCCTCTGCCTTTTGCCCGGGTACTGGAAGTGCATGAAGGTTATAATGGGTGTCGCTGCAGAAACCGGAAGCGCAAGACACGCGACCAGACTCGCGTGATTCCCCTCTCAACTACGTACTAGTAGGAATACGAACACCCAGAAATATTTATTATTATTCTTTGGTAAACAGAGAAATATTTATTATTATTATTTGTTATTATTATTATTATTAGGAACAATTCCTACTAATATCTTATGCATACATGTGTAGCCAGGTGATACATACTTGAAATATGAATAGAAGGGGTTACTTGAACGAGAAATTTGAAACATTGATACAACATTGCGCATTAAAGAATGACTGCCCTACAAGACGTTAAACAACCTCAACGAAGTTCGCCGGGAAAATACCCTCCTTTTCATCCAATTTACCGGTCCACCTTAAGTCTCTTAGAATTAGCTACCTAAAAACTTTCCTTCAATGAAGAGACGTACCAATCATCTGTCTTATCAGTTTTCTTCGTGATAGTTATTACTTGTCCCTTTCTAAAGCCCAAATCTCCAGGCTAGTTGAAATACATGCAATCAGCCGGGGTCAAGTCCATGTAACATTAAACGAACCTCAATAGCCGTAAAATCAAATAGCGCTATTGCACGCCCAACACCTTCATGTGGACTCATTGGAGCTAGTAATGCTCGTTTCGGCGTCAACTGAGGTCTGTCCACTGAAGTAGACGTAGAAAGCAAGCGATCAAACGAATCATTGTCGATTGAGTCACCAACTGAGTCGTAAGCAAAAGGATCGGCCGCTCGTGACGCAAAAGGATTCGAATTGTTCCTCTGAGTACCGTTAGAGCTCAATCCAAATCTTCGGTTTGTGTCGAAGTATGACGCCGAGCTCGTACTACGATTGTGACCATTCATATCGTTGCCGTTCATATTTGGGAATGGTGGAAGATCATTGAAGGGAGATCCAGGTTTAAAGGTGGATGCGTGGCCAGAGTAGGACCCGAGACTCTGCACAGGCCGATGCGATGGGCGGGAGAACGACGTGTCTTTTACTGTTGAATCTGCAGTATCGTAATCAGACTCAAATTTGGTTGCAAAGGAAGCCGTTGCAGGTTGGTCTTCGGCATGGTTGGCAACCGCTGGAGATCGCGGTCCGTATGCCGTTTCCTCCGTCTTGGACGGCGTTGAGGCTCTAAAATCATCATCAAATCCCTCCTTGTCATTTGCATGGAAAAAAGACCCTCCACTTTTCCGTCTACCCCAGTGAGTCGGTGGAAAAGAAGAATTAGTTGAACTCTTCTTTTTCCGAAGGCTCGGAGGTACTTCGCTCCCGGGACTTGCAACACCTCCACCGAAGGCATAACCGGATTCACTGGTGTTCGACTCGAAAGAATCATCTACCCACTTGTGTCCACCAGGCATGCCGACACACGCTTCAAGTGTTTTTATAAGAGGCTGTGCCCAGTCCGGTGGATCAATAGCACCAGATAGCAATTGTTTGGCGGTCACATCGGAACGGTATGCAAGGGCATTCGCATCCTGGCGTTCAATGATGACAGAGCCTTCAACCGATACTCCACCGAAAAGACCCCGTGTTTTGCTATAGCTGTACATTGCTGCCACTTTCCCAGACGTGTTGAGTGATCCAAGAGCTTCTCCGTTGCGACCCAGTGGACCGAGTGCAATACTCATGTTCCCTCCAAGTGTTAAAGAGCCTGCAGACATGAATGATCGCTATAGTCCTCTTTAGTCATGCACATACGTCGCATAAACCATTTCACTCACCACTGCCTGTCGCATATAAAAAAAGGGATAAGGGAGGCTGTTACTCAGTACGAATAAGAAGCTACGTACCGAGCGAGAGTTCAGCACGACTAGGAAGTCTGTCATTTCCGCTCCTGCCTGACCACCCACACCAAGTCCCGCAGAGCCAATTGCGCTTGGAGCGGACCAAGCTATGCAAGATCAATACAGGATCTCTAAGATACGAGCCGAGAACTCACATCCATCGTCGAGTCTAGCTATGACGATTCCACTCCCTGCCCGGGCTGAGAACAAGAAACCGGCTTTGACAATGGTAAAGATAGCAAAGCCCTTTGCATGCTCGAGGACTTGTCTTGGGATCACCTAAATCTTTCGCTAAGCGTTATGGGTAAAGTAAACGGACAGATTGTTGCACTTACACCGTCAAGTCCATTGTTTCCATTGTCAACGAAGGACTTGACTGTATAACGTGGCCAGTGAACAGCAGAGTCCAGATGATAGAGTAAAACTCACATATTTTGGCTGCTTTGAGGCATTCCTTGGGTAGCGGCTGTGGTAGCGGTGTATTGAACTTCATGCAAGGAAAAGCCTGCTGGCTGAGATAAAGGTCGAGTATTGGGGGAATGACGGTGCAAGGTCAAAGACAAGTAGTACGGAATCGATAGCAGTGCATTAGTAGTGCAGCATCATGCGATGCTCCGCAGGTCGTGACCTCCTGTTTTACTAAGCCGAAATGACATAAATTAGGATCGACGTGTGTTCAATATGAATCCATTGTCAATCCATCGTCTTCAGGATTACTAGTACTCATCATACGAAATGCCTGAGCTCCCTGGTACGTCTGCCGACAATGCAAGTGGAAATGGACCATCTAACCATAGTGCACAGAGGTTCATAGAGCGGCAAACTTCATAAAGACTCACGCCCAAGGCAAGACCATCATTAAAGTAGACGCGAACGAAGACACTATCGTATTTTCGGGAACGACTCACGAAGAATTTGTAATGGGTTTCATTGACAATCGTCTTCTACCACTCATCAAATATAAAGGCAAACGCTGTTCGAGGGAGGACAGTAAAAGACGTAGGAAGATACGGGAAAGTGTTCTATTTAGATCTGGATGGGGATGGTCCTATGCCCGTTATGCATTTCGGTATGACTGGGAATATTCTTGTAAGCATAATATGACCTGGAGAATTTTCAAACGAATTGTACTTAGACTCATTCATGCTTCAGATCAAGGGTGAGAGCCCTCTTACCTACAAAGAGGGTCCAAAGAAGAGTGACACACTCTGGCCACCTCGTTTTACTAAGGTAATGCAAAATATCGTTTGGCGTTTGCCAACGCTGCACTCCAACAGTTTTTAATTTATTCAGTGCATCCTACATCTTGAAAATCCACCTCCTGCTCCGGCAACTCAAATTGCATTCATTGATCCTCGCCGCTTGGGGCGTATTCGACTTTGCAAAGAGCCATTGCTGGAACCTCCGATATCACTTCTGGGCTTCGATCCAATCTTGCGCATGCCATCCTTGGATGACTTTTCAAAAAGTGTTTTAAAACGATCATGTCCAGTAAAGGCTCTTCTCCTTGACCAATCCTTCAGTGCGGGCGTAGGGAACTGGGTGGCTGGTAAGTTCGGAGTATCCGCGTTCGCCAATCTTCATTGGAATTTAAACAAGCTACTAGACGAGATTCTGTACCACTCACGAGTCCACCCTGAACAAAGATGCAATACTTTATCATCCGACCAGGTATCTGTTCTGTACAAGAATACGTCGTATGTTTGCCAAACAGCCATTTCTGTAAATGCGGACGCGGATAAATTTCCGGACAACTGGCTGTTCAATCATCGCTGGGTAAGTGGGATACATTGCTTTGCATTCGTGGTTTGACGCAGCTTTGACAGGGAAAGGGCAAGAAAAAGCACCTCAATCCACTCAAATTAGTAATACTCCATATCTTGCTTCAAGGTACTAGGCTAATGGACTGCTGCGACAGCCTTCCGGGGAGCTTGCAACCATCAAATGGCTAAAAGTCGGTGGTCGCACGTCAGCGTTTGTAACTGAGCTGCAGACTGCAAATGCCTCTAAGTTAGGGAGCGATAATCGCAAAGAAGAGGTACAATTGTTGCGATAGGCTGAGTTGAGCCTCCTAAACCAGTCTTCTAGGCAGACGAAGAAAGTTCGCTCACATCCCTTTCCGAACTCGATGAAATTTCTCCTAAGTCGAGGCCCAAGGCATGGCATCTTCTCATTCCGCAATTGCTCTAGCAGACTAACAGAGGTTGTAGCGGGCTCGCAAAGCAAAGCGGGCGGCGACAAAGCCAACTGGCAGGAAGCGTCAGAAAACGGAACGCGTATAAATCATGGTGGGATATCTGCAAACTCCACAAACACACAATAGCGAGGTTATTGTGCCGACCAAAGTCGCCTACTCGCTCTCATCCTCTGACTCATCCTCGTCATAATTTTCTTCTGCCTCGTCGTCAATGAAACCATTGACTAAGTTACCTTCGTCGCTGTCCTCAACTTCGTCACTATCATAGTCATTTTCTTCATCACTGACTTCCTCACTTTCTCCGCCCAATTCCACGTCTTCTACGCTACCCTCGTCATCCTCTTCAATCTCGACACCCTCATCCTCCTCCTCTTCGTCCGTGCTCTCGCCTTCAATGTATTTTAATGGTTCTCTTTTCGCGCTTCTGCGTTTCTTGCTTTTTTGCTTGGATATTCCCAAAGGAGCAGGTGCAGTCGACGAGCGAAGTTCCACCTGTGCAAGAACGAGGTCTAATCGCCCACTTAGTGACAACAAGCGTTCCTGCAGTGTCAGGCGCGTTGTAAGCGTCGAGTGCAGGTGTGAAAGTCGAGCGACAAGGTCTGGCATCTATTGGATAATAATCGCAATATTATTGAACTGGCTGTAGAATTTCTTCATCATTAAGAACTCACCGTCATCAAATGCCCACCATGGATGATTAATACTGCCCGGACCCACTTCATTAATGCCATCCCCCTTTGTGCACTCGCCCCTCCCCCTCTCCCCTTTACGTGCGTTCCTCGAGGACCACGTCCAAGACGCTCGACACAAGCATTCAAACAAGGGACAGCAAGTTGTGACGGTAATCGTGCCACAGTATTACGCACAAGAGTCTCATCTGAATGCGTGAGGCAAGCCTCAAGCAAGCTCGTGTCTCCCGAGTGTAATGCTTGTATAAGAGTTCGTGTAAGTGAATGTGCAGGAACGGATCCTCGTTTTAGTTGGTTAAGCTCGCGTTTGGAGAGTCCGGAAGTCCGAGCACCGGTGTCGCTACCAGATTGTCGTTGTTCGAAAGGCGCTCCATCACGCCCAATAGCATTCGATCGAGCTGCAAGACGTTCACCGAGACTGAGCTCCGCCAGGTCCGCGTCAAGACCGCCTTCAACTTCGCGTTCAATTTCGCCGTCAAGTACTGGATCATGTGGAATTTCTGCACCACTTGCGACAGCTACACGGGTAGACTCTGCGTAACGCCTGTTCACAATCTTTCAATAATACGAGTAAGCAAACGCAAAGGAGTAGAAAACACGAAGTCATACAGCGCCGCCGTTTGTGTCCTTTGTGAAAGTAATCGGGGTTGGATTAGATTCCAACGCATCCTCGACTACAGGCAGCGAAATGGATGACGTTGCAACAGGTCGTGACTTGGGAGGCTTTGCACGTTTTTTCTTTAATTTTTGAGGGGATACCGACATTGTGTGAGTCGCAAGCGGCAGAAGATCCAGAGCGCGGCAGTAAACAAACTTTTTGTGCTGATCCATAGTCCCAAAAAGGTAGCTATCGCTCTTACCTGTTTACGTAATATGGCCTTTCAAACCCGAGTTCTATCTACTGGGCGGGTTGTTATCTAATTCCTGCACAATTCAGACTGCATGTCCAATGGCGATAGGACATGATCTTTTCCGATCGTACAACAGCATCTCAGGTGTAAAGGGAATTTTTGGTAACCGGCTTGTTGCATATAGTCACGTACATCACGTCACGCTTCACGCCTGCGCCTTGAAAGGCACTGCATACCCTGCACAGTACCAGTTTCAACTTGATCAGCATCTGCCACCTCGTTTCCTCTGCTCCTGTGTCCATTGCACCTCAGATCCATAGTCTTAATATTCTTCCGATTTACGGTCATCTCGCAAGCTCTGCTTATTCCGCCCTGCCATTGAACGTCAATCCTATCTATAGTGCTAAGCCACGCAACCAATCACAAGTACTTACCTTTTGTCGTGATTCTGCGATGAGGCTTCCTACTAACGATGATTCATCTGCATACCTCCTCTTCGAAGATTTATAGAAGTATTCTGCGTATTCGCGTTTGTTCTTCAAACTGGCACCATTCGGATCAACTACCCCGATGAATTACGTTCAGGTTTGTTCAAGCTACACTCGCATTGCCTAGATAATTAATTGTTCTGCCGCAGCTTGAAAAACTAGGTACGAAAACTTACAAATGTTCGCAGAGGGTCGAATAGCTTACGCCACTACTCAGGTGAAGGGACGTATGCCACAGTCTACAAGGTATGCGTAACGTGTCGTTCGCGATGAAATTCAGACTTTACTGATTTTCACTAGGGTCGTTCACGGACTACAAATGAGATAGTGGCACTGAAGGAGATCCATCTCGACGCCGAGGAGGGAACACCGTCAACTGCTATTCGGGAGATATCTCTCATGAAGGAGCTCAAACATGTCAATATTGTCCGACTGCACGATGTTATTCATACAGAGACCAAACTGGTCCTCATATTCGAATATTGTGAGCAAGACCTGAAGAAATACATGGATACACATGGAGAGCGTGGTGCCCTTGATCCTGCCACGGTCCGTAGTTTCATGTATCAACTCCTGAAAGGGACTGCGTTCTGCCACGAGAATCGTGTTCTGCACCGCGATCTCAAGCCGCAGAATCTCCTGATTAACCGGAAGGGTGAGTTAAAGATTGGTGACTTCGGTCTAGCACGAGCGTTCGGTGTACCTGTTAATACTTTCTCAAACGAGGTACGCAATTGTTGAAGTATTTATTGTCATGCATGCGTGCATCTGCTCACTCGTATGATACAGGTCGTGACATTGTGGTATCGGGCACCAGACGTTCTTCTCGGTTCAAGAACATACAATACGTCAATTGATGTTTGGTCCTGTGGATGCATATTTGCTGAAATGATCTCCGGGGTTCCGCTTTTCCGTGGAAGAGACAACCAGGACCAACTGTTACACATCATGCGTATTGTCGGCACGCCAGATGAGAGAACTTTGAGGAAGATAGCAGCCGACTCTGTGAGTGCAGTCATCAGAATTAATGTATTTGCTAAATTCTCCTCCATAGCCTGAAATAACGCTTAAACAATACCCGAGATACCCTAAAATACCGTTCCAACAAATAATACCGAAAGCATCCCCCCAAGGTATGGGTTTTAGTTCTTGGACTGCGCGACGGCATCTTCTTATGTATTCCATGTGTAGCTTGCGATCTTCTCGAACGACTACTCCAGTTCGATCCCGCCAAGCGGCTCACGGCTGCCGAAGCATTGAGCCACCCTTATTTCACAAGCACGGCTCCAAACGTTTATAACGTCGCCAATCCTGCAGCTACTGGTTCGATGGCTCCACCAATGTATAACTATCCATTCCAAGGCCAAGTACAACAACAAGCACCACAGTTTGTGCAACCAATGCAAACAATGTACTCTACCCATGCTGCTGCGCAGGCTCAAGCACAGGTTCAAGCACAGGCACGCGCCCATGCCCAGGCTCAAGCGCAAGCGCAGGCTCAGGCTCAGCGCCAAATGATGGCGTATGCTCAGAATCCACAGGCGCCTCAACCCGGGTACGACGGCGTCTCTCAGTATGCGCCACAATCGTATGGACACAGTTAGCGAGGCCGTTTTCTAAATCCTCTTCTTTACGAATCTTCTTATGGAGTGTACTATGCCAAGTGTATTAGCAAGTTGAATGTAACCTCTTCCAAAATCGAGTTTACACCGCACGATTCCACAAATAGCGTTAGTTACTATCCATAACTTAGGCGATTTCTCGAGTAACCAGAGGAAAGTTCGGGATTGATCGATTATGGGACTGTTCCTATTCGTGGCTCAAGGTTGCGAATAGCATTTCTCCTGTTTGCTTTGTTACAATACGAACATAGTTTGTCCTTGCGACACATATATGGTACTGATTTATCTCTGGTGCAGTTGTGGGATACGTTAGGGCTGTTCCTACCATGTGGTGTACTAGGCCAAACTTAGTGAGTCAAGTGTGTACAGACAGTGACTCAACACTGAATAACCTTGCTTATGCGATTTGAGCAATATGAACAGTCCAAGGACCTCAGCAAGAACTCCTTACTGATCATCTGTCAGTGGTGAATAGCCTTGAGAATTTCTTAGTTACTTGGTTTAGACAATGTGGCCAAACAGATAAAAGACTGATTATGAGTATATGCAGGATTACAGCTGGTAAAGTGAAGTACTTATATAAAATGGATGACTGAGGATCTTTGCATACTGGCTACTACTTTATTAGCCCTTAAAACCTGTGCTGCCTTCTTGTTTTTGTCTACACATACAGAAGTGGCCTCAGTTATGTAATAATAATAGTTGTAATAGTTTAGAATATACTCTAAAACAAAAATTTCCTACTAGTAGTATCAAAATAAGTTTCTGTCTTCTGTATCTAAAGTTGACTCAACCTACTTACCAATTTGAGAACAAATGGTAAAGACCTTTTAAAGTTCTTTTCAAAGTCAAAGCTAATATATACAAACTCCAAATAATTAAGTATTAAAGTGTACACATTATATTTAACAAAGTTCTCCTTAAGCTAATAGTCAGACTATACTACTTAATCTAGAAAACTCTGTCCTACTATTTTAGAGTTTAACAAGAATAAGTTAGAGTAGAAGATTGAACAAATTCTTAACTAACTTACACATGTTTATTTTACACTATTAATACTTAGTAAAATAGATTAATTATACAGAATCTGGTATTTGACAGTTAAAGAATGATTTTACTAATATATAGAACACAATCTAAGAGTTTTATTAATTGTATTTAAGTACTTCTTAACAATTAAAAATCTTCTAGAGTATAATATAATTAATGTTCTGTTTTACAGAGTCTAATACTTTAAGTATACATTAACTGTTAGGAGAGATGTGTTCTCTAGGTTGATAGTACTCTCAAACTACAAATGTAGACCTGCAGCCCTTAATCCAACTATATTCCCAAAGCTACCAGCTAGGATTTATGCTAAGAGAACAAGTAGGAATACAAGAAGAGTTAAAAAACTAAGAAACTACTGTATCTACAGACTGCTTTTTATAATAACTAAATAATAAGAGTAAAGTGAGGAATGAAACTTGAGAATAAGATTAAAGAAATAATAAGGACAAATATTACAAAGCTAACAGGTACATTAGAGGCTAGGAAGAATTAACAGAGTGTTGTGTATTAGAGAATATAGGCTAAAAGACTATTACACAAAAGAGGTACAAGTTACTATATTGGGCAAGAAATGGATTAGCTACATTGTAATTGTATACACTACCTTGTGTCTCTATAGCTCTCTCCTACACTCAATACTAAGACAATCTCTATGAAACTTTGTAGAACAATAGATAAAATATTAAGGATTATGAAAATTTAGTAGTAATATTAGTTTTTTTACAAAACTGACAGAGATATAAAGAAAATGAAATAGGTCTAATTCTACAGTCCTAACATTACCTCTCTCCTTAGGTTGTACATTCTGGACAACTGAATCTAGGGGTTATTTTACTTAAGTAAAGTGTCAAAGTCTCTAAAGGTTTCCTTTAGAATGTTCAGTCATTTTAGAGTACTAGGATAAGTTTTATAGAAATCCCTAATAGTATTCTGAGTATAAGTAAGGTTATTTTCAGACTGTCAAGTTGCTTCCTAGTATCCTACCCATTTGACAAGGAACTGAAGCTTTCCTTTATAGAGTCAAGAGTCAAGAATAGTCTTGACTTTATATTTAATCTTATTGTCTACAAGTTTAGGTAGAGGAGGAGGAGGAGCCTTCTGAATGTTAAAGACTTGAGAAACATATAGTTTGAGCAGAATCTCATTAAACACTAAGTGAATCAACTATCTCTGAGATAGTTTAAGCTTATATGTACTAGCTCTAACCTTTAAGTCAACCTTAAAAGGACTAAACTACTTATTATTAAATTTCTTAGTAGGTCTAGTAGTCTTTATGTTCCTTGAGTCTAAACACACTATATCTTCTAACTTGTACTATATAGAGAGGTCTGAATAATAATCATAGTACTTTTTTATAGTTTCAGTAGCTTGGTCCAGACTTTTCTTTACAAGTTTCTAAACATCTTTAATATGCTTAACTTATTGTTTAACTAAATATATACTAGTCTTAGTCAAAACCAATTTAAAGTCTACAGAGTGTCTTTCAGAGTTGACATAAAACAGAGAGAACTTTATAGTAGAGTGTTCTCAATTGTTATATGTGAACTCAGTTATAGAAATCTATTCTACTTAGTCTGACTGTTTATAGTTAATATACAAATAGAGATACTGTTCTATCTCTTAATTAATATACTTAGTTTAACTATTAGTTTGAGAATAATATACTGTAGAGGAATTCCCTTTAATATGAAGAGCTTTATAAAGTTCTCTTATGAATTTAGTATTGAATTACAGTCCTTAGTTATGTATAATCTTCTTAAGTAATCTATAGAGTCTAAAGACTTGATCCCTGTACAGTCTAACTATTCCTTCAGTTGTAACCTTTATAGTAGTTAGAAGAGTATGTATTTGCTTAGAGAAACAATCTACAATAATACAAATAGTATTAAATCCTTTAGACTTAGACAATTCACTAATTAAATTAACAAATATTACCTACTAAGATCTAGTAAGTGTATTATAAGAATGTAGTGCCTTTTGTCTTATAGTGTGTAGGGATTTTGTTCTTTAGCATTTATTATAGTCTTAAATATACTTCTTAGTGTTTGTCCTCATCTGTAGCTACCAGAACTCTCTCTGAATCATTTTAAGTGTCTTTCTATACTCTAAATGTTTTACAAGTAGGGAATTATAATATTCCTTCAGAACTATTAGTACAAGGTTTAAGGGAACATATATTTTCAAATTCCTATACATATAGTTATCTCTAATAAGTATACTAGCTAAGTACTCCTCTCCTTTGCCTAATAATTCCTACTGAGTGTTTTGAATCTTTTACAGAATGACTTTACTACCTGTATACACTATTCCTCTTAACTAAGAGTCTTTAATAAAGGTAACATCTTTGTTATTATACTCTCCCTTATTAAATTAAGGACTTCTAGACAGTATATCTACTTTTACAAGTGTTTTTCCAGGTTTATGTATTAAAACAAAGTTATAGTCTGTTAGTTCTATTCTCTAGCAAGCTTGTCTGTAGTTTAACTTGTAGAGAGTCTTAAAGTATGTTAAATTAGTATAGTCAGACTATACTTTAAAGGTTTGTCTTACTCTTAATAAGTACTAGTGCTAGTTCTTAATAGCTTTAACAATAGTAAACATTTCTTTATTATAAATCTTATAATTTTACTTTGTAGAGTTTAGAGATTGAGACCTAAATACTATAGGATATTATACACTATTTTGCTTTTAAGAAAAGACTGCTTCAAGTGTGTAATTAGACAAATTAGCTTCTACTCTAAAGAGATTATACTTATTTAGAATTGTAAGGACAGACTGTAAGCTTAATTGTCTCTTAAGCTCTTCTATAGTCTCTCTTTACTTATTTCTCTAAGTAAATAAAACCTTCTCAGTTAGTTTAGTGAGTAAACAAGCTATTTTACTATAGTCCTTAATGAATCTCTAATACTAGTTGTAGAAACTAGTAAACTATTATAATTACTTTAAGTTCTTTAGTTTTAGCCATTTATTAATAAGCTTTACTTTTTTCAGGTGTATTCAAATCTTATTGTTCCTAATAATGTGTTTAAAATACTTAGTAGTAGATCTTTCAAATTCACACTTCTAGAACTTAAGGAACAAGTGATTCTCTTACAGAATTGTAAAAACCCTTTGAACTAAGTGTTTATACTCTTTAATATTTTTAGAATAGATAAGGATATTGTCTAAATAAACAACAACTAATCCCTTATTAATTAATTCACTAAAGATATTGTTTATAAAGTCTTAGAATGTAGTAGAGGCATTTGTAAGACTAAAGAACATGACTGTAAGCTTAAACAATTCTAGATTTGTTCTGAAAGCTGTCTTCTACTTATTACTCTCTTAGATTCAAATATTATAGTATCCCTAACACACATTAAGCTTTGTAAAGTACTTAGAATCTTTGACCTTATCTAGAAGCTCTTAAATTAAAGGTAGAGAGTACTTGTTCTTAATAGTACCTTTATTAAGCTTTCTGTAATCTTAGATTAGTCTTAAAAATCTATCCTCCTTCTTAATAAAGAAGAAAGACAATACTATGAGAGACTTTGAATATTAAATCCTTTCTAAAGCTAGATTCTTAAAAATAAAATCCTTAAGTATATCTTGTTCTTTAGAAGCTAGAGAGTACACTTTACAATCTGTAACTGTTAGCATTTATTCTGGATAAATGTGTCATATGTCTTAGACATGTCTTCCAAGACATACATCCAAGACACACAATATTAGATAGCATATATAATACTTAATATAAGGACAATGAAGCTCATAGGACACATATAACAGTACACAACACATTACCAACTACACAGTCGACTTGTATTGACGCCTACACACTATGAGCAGAGCCTACTGAACCCCTACTAGTGTGAACTACTCTAAGGGAATCATTGCAACCTCAAAATGCTAACAGGTTATGAGCCTTGTACTCCCTACTCATGTCTACATTGTTACTACACTTTTATCTTACCCTCTACAAATGCAACTCTTTGAAATCATCATCTAAATGATTATGATTCCTCCTCACTAGCTATATGCATGACTATATGCACCACAATCGTCATTGCAAATGCTTTAGTGTACTATATACTATAGTACAAATGATATGATACGCTCA